GATCCCGGAGTCCCAGGATCGAGTCCCACATGGAGCTCCCTGCATGGAGCCTGCTTTTCTCTCTGCCTTGCTCTGTGTCTCTCATGAATAAATAAATAAAATCTTAAAAAAAAAAAAAGATTATCTACCTCTTCCTCTGTCCCTTCTCCCTCCTTCTCAAATAATCTTTAAAAAATAATTTATATGAGATAGGGTTGAGAATAAATAGATAAAATTTAAAAATGTGGCAGGGTTAATTTTGACTATGGAATAAATAACATTGATGATAGGAAGTAAATTGCCACGTTAGTAGTGTTAAGTTTTCTTTTTTTTTTTTTTTTTTTAGTGTTAAGTTTTCTGATGCATGAACATGGAGTGTCTTTACATTTATTTAGGTCTTGTTCATTTTCTCTCAACAATGTTTTGTAGTTTACTGTGTGCCATCTTGCACTTCTTTTGTCAATGTATTCCTTAGTATTTTATTCTTTTTGATGTTATTATGAATGGAATTGTTTTCATTTAATTTTCAGATTGTTCATTACTGGTGTTTAAAAACACAACTGATCTTTGCGTATTGACTTTGTATCCTAAAACCTTGCTGAACTTGTTTATTAATTTCAGTAATTTTGGGGGGGAAATCCTTAGGGATTTCTTTTTTTTTTTAATATATTTTATTTATTTATTCATGAGAATACACAGAGAGGAGAGAGAGAGAGAGAGAGAGAGAGAGAGAGAGAGAGAGAGAGAGAGAGGCAGAGACACAGGCAGAGGGAGAAGCAGGCTCCATGCAGGGAGCCTGACGTGGGACTCGATCCAGGGTCTCCAGGATCACACCCTGGGCTGCAGGGCCACTAAACCGCTGAGCCACTGGGGCTGCCCTCCTTAGGGATTTCTACATAGCATCTGCAAATAAAAATAGTTTTACTTCTTCCTTTCCTATTTGAATGCCTTGTATTTCTTTTGCTTGTCTAATTTACCTGGCTAAAACCTCCAGCACAATGTTGAATAGATATGGTGAGATCAGATATCTTTGTCTTGTTCCTAATCTTAGAGGAAAAATTTCATTTTTCACCTTTAAGTATGATGTTAGTTATAGGTTTTTGTATATATCTCTTTCAAGATTAGGAAGTTTCCATTTATTCTGTTTGTTGGCTGTTTTTATCATAAAAAGATAGCAGATCTTGTCAAATTCCTTTCTCATTTTTATTGAGATATTTTTGTGCTTTATTCTATTAACATGGTGTATTGCATTGATTGATTTTCACATACTGGAACAGTTGTGCACTCCTTAAATAAATCCCACTTGCTTGTGGTGTATAATCATTTTTATATGCTGAATTCAGTTTGCTAGTATTTTGTTCATAATTTTTATAGCTCTGTTCATTAGCACTATTTGTTGCTTTCTTGTGATGGCTTTGTCTGGTTTTGATACTGCGCCATTTTATTTTTTATCATTTTTTGATACTGTGCCATTTTAAATCTTCCCCTTTCCTAAGTTGTTCTGTTGCTAAATAAATGTGATTTTTCATTTTTCCTCAAATCATTCCACTTTCTGGATCTCTAGTTACTCACTAAAGGAAAGAGAAAGAGTGAAACTAAGGGGATCCCTGGGTGGTTCAGCGGTTTGGCGCCTGCCTTCAGCCCAGGGCATGATCCTGGAGTCCTGGGATCGAGTCCCACATTGGGGTTCCCTACATGGAGCCTGCTTCTCCTCTACCTGTGTCTCTGCCTCTCTCTCTCTCTGTGACTCTCATGAATAAATAAATAAAATCTTTAAAAAAAAAAAAGAGTGAAACTAAGAATGAAGTAGAGAAAGCAAAACTAAAGCAAGGAAAGGCAAAAATACTTTCAGTTATGATGGGCATGTATGATTGATCTCTAAGTAATTTTGACTTGTTAACTAAATTTTGTGGCCTTGTCATGGGACTTAAGACAGTTGACTTGAACTCTCTAGAGCTCTTTGGAATCCACTTTGTCAAAAGAGAATAAGGTGACTCTGGCCTAGACACATACGTGTGCACACACACACACACACACACATGAAGGCACTAAGCCACCACTATGACCACCACCATACCTCCTTTAAACTCATGCTCTGCCAAATTTGGCCTGAGTTCTTCTCAGGCCAAAAAGAAACCAACATTCCACTTCTATAGAGCAGTGACACTTATCTATTCTTTTTTATTTCTAAAAATGAATATGTAGCTCATCTCTAGTGAGAGGGCCAGAGTAGAGCCTAGTGAAATCATGCTGACAGTTCTCCTCTCACTCCAAACATGTTGCCACATATAAAATCAAAAGAAACATCAAGGAAAATCTAGAAAGGAGTATTGTTATTCAAGGACAATCTTAGCCTGAAGGTTGGATTTCCATCTTTTTCCTTGGGGTCAGGAAGTTAGGAAGGTAATTGGCAAGAAGAACAGTTGATTTTGAATTGGCTCTTCTTATTCAGACACTTGGTTCTAGGCATACAGATACAAGTCACTCAAAGGACAAAGCCTTGGGTAGTCATTCTCAATTTTCCCTGGTCCAGAGCCTACCAAGAATCCTCACTCTGCCCCAGGTCTTTGATCCAGTATCTTTAGGCATCATACAGTGGAAAGAGAGTTTTCACCTAGACCTCTATTCTGAATGACCAGCCCAACCATAGACTTTATAGCAGACCCATTGATCTCTCCCTAGGGTCAATTCCCAATAAGAGTAGACATGCTTTACTATTGGTTTATTCAAGGTTTTCAACATTTTAGTTTTGTCCCAGGCTGTAAAATACTTCCTGACTTGTGACAAACTCTTCCTTACCTCTGCCTAATTAGATTTATTTTATTCTTCATTCTTTTACTTTTTAAGGTGGGAAGTTAGATAAGTCAGATAATTTATTTGAGATTTTTACTCTTTTCTAATATACACATTTAGTGTTATCTATTTCTATCTAAACATTGGTTTTAGCTACATCTCAAAAATGCTGATATGCTGTGCTTTACTTACATTGAGTTCCAAATAATTTTTAATACCCCTTGTTTCTTCTTTGAGTCGTGGATTGTTTAGAAGTATGTTATTAGTTTCCAAATATATGGGAGTTTTTCAGATAGTTTTTGGTTGATAATTTCTAGTTTAATCCCACTGTAGTGAGAGAAAATATCTTGCATGATTTAAATTCATTTAAGTTTATTGAGACTTGATGTATGACTCAGAGAATGGTCTGGCTTGGTAAATGCTCCATGTGCATTCAAAAATAATATACTTCTAAAGAATATGTTTCTAAAGATTCTCCTCTTATGTCTCTATGACTTTTCTAAACATGAGCAATATTTTTTCCTTTTCTTCCTCTTTTTTCTGACTATAACAAGTAATACCCCATTGGTTGCCTACAGAGAGTAGAATGATGTGGTTTTTGAGCCATGAAGATGCATTAAGTATTTTAAAAGTAAGTATTTATATTTTTAAAAAGTAAAAAGTGGTAATTGAATCATGGCGGTGGACCATACCCAAAAACAATTATCTACACAAATCCAAATAAACAGCAAACCAGAGGTCGTGAAGAATGCTTAGAAGATAGAAACAGGAGTTGCTTTCTTTTTTTTTTTTTTAATTTTTTTTTTATTTATTTATGATAGTCACAGAGAGAGAGAGAGAGAGAGGCAGAGACACAGGCAGAAGGAGAAGCAGGCTCCATGCACTGGGAGCCCGACGTGGGATTCGATCCCGGGTCTCCAGGATCGCGCCCTGGGCCAAAGGCAGGCGCTAAACCGCTGCGCCACCCAGGGATCCCAGGAGTTGCTTTCAAACTGACAACACAAGAGGACTTAAAATACCTGCAGTAGAAAGTCAAGCATACTCAAAGAAGTTTCAAGAACAGAGTCAATGAAATCAAAGGACAGCAGAAGGTCCTGGGTGGAATGTGAGATTAAAGACTCACTCTCTGAATGACAAATCTGTTTTCCTCTACTCTGCTCTGACCCTCCCCCAGCCTTACTTACATTCAACAAAGCCACCGTGGCAACTGAACTGCTTTAATCTCTTTAACCTATACTCCAAAGACAGTGAATTACTTGACCAGAAAGGGAACCCAAATTAGAGCAGAAGAGAAACAAAACATATCTACCTAGAAGAGCAATCCACTGAGGTCTTTCAGTGTCAGAGAAAATGCCATGCTTTTTGGTTTTGGGGATGATACCTATCCTACTTGCAAGCTCCATGGCATGTACTCCTAAAGGAGGAGATCACTCCTTAATTGATACATTCCATTCTACCCATTCAGAGGAGAAACCTATTAGTGAAATGAACATCACAACTGTAATTCAGACCCATGCTAATTACCTAGGCTAATCAAACAAGTCCTTCATTACTAAATATGAATGGCAAAGTTTTAAGTATTTCAGGAAAGTAAAACAGAAGATGATAAACAGATAAATTTATATTTATATTTTACAGGAAACAGAAGAGAAATTTACCGAAAATTCAAATTCATATTCTTAGAATTTTGGGAGAGAATGAGTTTATTTTTTAATTTTTTAAAATTTTTACTTATTTATGATAGTCACACACACACAGAGAGAGGCAGAGACACAGGCAGAGGGAGAAACAGGCTCCATGCACCGGGAGCCCGACGTGGGATTCGATCCCGGGTCTCCAGGATCGCGCCCTGGGCCAAAGGCAGGCGCCAAACCGCTGCGCCACCCAGGGATCCCAGAGAATGAGTTTATAAAATAAAATTAGGCTGCTAGAATGAGAGTACTTGGAAAATAGACACATTATCCCCAAATTATAAACTTTATTAGTAAATGCCAGGTGCTCAGCACAGGGTCACTCTGCCTCACTCAGGCTCCAACAGAACCTAGAACACAGCCTTTGCGGCCCTCACTGAGCCGGAAGTGCGCCCCCTTCCCTGGACGGCATTTCCGGTCCCCTCTCAGAGCTGTCTCCCATATCAAAGGCCACTTCCCTCAGATCAACCGCCACTGATTCGGCCTCCGGCCTCCCTCACCACTCACGCTGGGCAATCTCCGAGGCCACCACCGAAGTCGGCCCTGCCGTTGCCCACTCCGTGGCTCTCGTTTCCGCGACGTGGTCGCCCTCGCCCTGCTGCCCGGGCCGCCAGCCATGGCCACCGCGCCGATCTCCCAGGTCCGCCAGAACTACCACCGCGACTGCGAGGCCGCCATCAACGGCCAGATCAGCCTGGAGCTGTACGCCTCCTACGTCTACCAGTCCATGGCCTTCTACTTCGACCGCGACGACGTGGCCCTGAGGAACTTCGCCCGCTTCTTCCAGCGCCACGCCCGCGAGGAGGCCCGGCACGCCGAGATGCTGATGGAGCTGCAGAACCAGCGCGGGGGCCGCATCCGTCTGCGCGACGTCAAGAAGCCCGACCGCGACGACTGGGAGAGCGGCCTGAGGGCCATGGAGTGCGCCCTGCACCTGGAGAAGAGCGTGAACCAGAGCCTGCTCGACCTGCACCAGCTGGCCACCGACAAGAACGACGCCCAGCTCTGCGACTTCCTGGAGGCCCACTACCTCCGTGAGCGAGTCAAGGCCATCGAAGAGCTGGGAGGCCATGTCACCAGCCTGTGCAGCATGGGGGCCCCGGAAGCCGGCCTGACTGAGTACCTCTTTGACAGGCTCACCCTGCGCCACAGCCACAAAGAGAACTGACTTGGGACTGACGCCTCCCCCAGCCAGAGGGCAGGGTGCAGGGGGCAGGGTGACTTCCCCTGGGCACCCTGCCGAGCGTGCATGTTGCAGTATTGCCTTGGCAGAACGTTCAGGTTTTTTTTCTTCCAGTTCTGCCATAAATAAATAAATAAATAAATAAATAAATAAATAAATGAATGAATGAATGAATGAAGTTGTTTGGGTTCAATAAAGTTATTTGGTTCAAAACTTAAAAAAAAAAAAGGTCTGTGGTTGATTCCTGCACAAACCCTTCCCTTTTAAGTTTTACAACAGGTATTCAGGAGTCTCTCCACCCACCCAACCCCATCTGTATGCAGCTCAGGATCTCTGAAGATGGAGAGGAAAGGTATTCCATGGAACCTGGAAAACAAATCCGTCTTCCCTTTATAAACGATGTGGGGCGGGCAGCCCCGGTGGCGCAGCGGTTTAGCGCCTCCTGCAGCCCGGGGCGTGATCCTGGAGACCCGGGATCGAGTCCCGCATTGGGCTCCCTGCATGGAGCCTGCTTCTCCCTCTGCCTGTCTCTGCCTCTCTCTTTCTCTAGCTGTGTCTCTATGAATAAATAAATAAAATCTTAAAAAAAAAAAAAAACTATGTGGGGAAGCAGGGATGGGGTGAAGTGAGGAGGGTGGCCTGGGGCCCCGGTGTGAGTGGGAGCATGTGTATGGTAAAAGTATGAAACAACATGGTCTAGAATTCACCATGGTGGTGGTCCCTATGGAAAAAGTGAAGAATGGGATTAGTCTAGTATTAAAGGGAGTCTTCAACTTTATTTGAAAACATTTAGCTTACTAAAAAATGCAAATATTCATCATTGTTGCATCTGGATAGCAACATGGGAATCTTAAGAACCAGAAAGGCAGGATATTTCTTTAACAAGTTTGCCCTGGGCAACAGGAACAATGTAACTGAACCTTACCCTGGCTTCCCATAGACAGGTACCTGACTTCTAGGTCACCATGCGTATTGCCCCTACCCAATATCCAAACATGTTTTTCTCCTTCAACTATACCCTTTCTTCCATTAATGTAGTAGGAGTACCCAAAACCCCAAATTACCTGCTAGAATGGCTGACAAATACAAGGTCAAGTTTGAGGCTCAAATTTGTAATATGAATATGAAGGGGAATAAATTCCCCTGAATGTTAAGCCAGTGATCTGGCTGCTTTGAAGAATATAGTGGGTGGGCAAAAGTTGAAGCTGGGGGACCAGTCAGGAGATGCTGTAGCAGATCCAATGAAAGACACTGGTGGCTGAACTGCAGTGGAAGCTGAAGAAGAGGTGATGGAGACAAATTCTAGTTGGATTTGGATGAATCAACAAGATTTGCTCATGGACCACAGGGGAAGAATGAGAAATGAGGAAAATAATCCAGGTTCTGGTGTTTGTACTTGAACACCTGACTGGATGGTAATGTTATCTATTAATTTGAGGATGTTTGCAGGGGGACACCAGGGGTGGGGAAGGCATGTCACATACAATCTGAGATGCCTATTACATATGCAAATGGAACTCTCATGCAGGCAGTCAGAAAAATGAATCTGAAGCTCAGGTGGGGTGTCGGGTTTGGAAACAGACATATATATGAGAGACATGAGTCACAGATGGTGGTAAGATCATGGGACTGGATAAGGTCAGCAGAAGTGTAGAGAGAGTGAGGAACAGCCAGCCCCGTGCCCAGGTAGCTACTGTTAGAGGATGGGTTGAGGTGTTACAACACCCAGAGGGCTGCTGGCCCCACCTTGACCATTAGCTCATTCCAGACTGTGACTATCTGTGCCCATACCCAGTGTCCCCAAGGCAGCCTGTTCCTGAAGTAAGTGTGGTTTTTGGTTGCTCCTCTCAAGATGTGGAGAGGAGTTAGCCTATTATTTTTTCCTCATGGTTATGGATAGAAAGAAATTATTTCTCAGTAAAAAGATTTCCCAAGGAAATGATAGATGCATCTCTGGATTTTTTCTGCTTCCGTTTAAGAACTCCTCCTCTCTCAGTCAACTCTCTGTTTGACCAGATGAAATCTGTACCCATGTAAACCTTAAGGCTGTCCATGTCTAGAAAAAATACTCAAAACATTAGTTTCTCTGCACTACATATAGTTTACAAAGATCAAAATTAAAAATGTATAGACATTATAGTCTATATTCAGACACATGGGTAGCTTGAGTCAATTTAAAGCTAACAGATTGCTTTGAAGTTTTAGTAAAATATGAACAAATTTAGCTAAGCAATAATATCCTTTCACATTTCCCTGTAAATACTTTGTTTAAAATGAGGATTATAGGGGTGCCTGGGTAAGCTCATTTGGTTAAGCATCTGCCTTTGGCTCAGGTTGTGATCCCAGGGTCCTGGGATGGAGCCCCATTGGGCTCCCTGCTCAACACGAAGTCTGCTTCTCCTTCTCTCTCTGCCCCTCCCCTGCTTGTGCTCTCATTTTCTCTCTCTCTCAAATAAATAAAAAAACCTTAAAAAAATAAATGAGGATCATAGTCCTTTGAATTTTGTTTCTAGAAAATATTATTACCCTTTTAATTTTTCTAGTCAAACTTGATCTTTTTTTTTAAGATTTTATTTATTTATTCATAGAGACAGAGAGAGAGAGAGAGAGAGAGAGAGAGAGAGAGAGAGAGAGGCAGAGACACAGGCAGAGGGAGGAGCAGGCATCATACAGAGAGCCTGACGTGGGACTCCATCCAGGGTCTCCAGGATCACGCCCTGGGCTGCAGGCGGCGATAACCCTCTGCGCCACTGGGGATGCCCATCAAACTTGATCTTTTCACTCTTTCTCTGCCTGGTTTGAAGTTGTGTGCTCTCCCTGACATTGTCTCAAGTGTGTGTGTCTGTGTGTGTGTGTACATATACATATATATACACATACATACATATGTATATACATATATGTGCATATATAACTTCTCTAGATATGAGGAAGCATAGGGTGAGCATCAATATTTGAGTGTTTAAAAACTATAAATTGGCTGAGGACCCTTCTTACTTCCCTGCTTTGGAGAAACAGTGTAGTGGTTTCTTAACTTCACATTGCCTGGGTTTATATCCCAGCTTAGCCACTTACTAAATTGGGCAAATTTGGGCACGTTACTTCACTTTTTTGTGCCTCCATTTCCCCCCATGTAAAAGAGGGACAATAAAAGCATCAGCCCCACTAGGTTGCTGAGAAGACTAAAGTGGTTGATATTTTTAATCTTTTTTTTTAAGATTTCATTTATTTATTCATGAGAGAGAGAAAGAGAGAGAGAGAGAGAGGCAGACACACAGGCAGAGGGAGAAGCAAGCTCCATGCAGGGAGCCGAACATGGGACTCGATCCCGGGTCTCCAGGATCACGTCCTGGGCCAAAGGTGGCGCTAAACCGCTGAGCCACCTGAGCTGCCCAGGAGTTGATATTTTTAAATGCTTATGACAGTACCTGGCACACATAGTACATGTACCATGTATAAGCCATCATTCAATCATCACTAGCTTCATCCACTCACTTCTGAGTTCTTCCTGCTGTTCTTTTGGGGGAGAAGATTTCACGTCTGTACTTTACCACTGGGGGTCTCTCTTGTGTTTCAACCAACTGTGTCATTCTGCATCCTGAGAAGGAAAAATCCTCCGTGGCTGCTTGATTGTCAGGTGCTGCCAGAATTCAGGAGGGCAGATTGCTGTTTTCACTGTCCCAAACTCAGGCCCAAGCCTGGAGGTGCATTTGGCTGTTTCAAACAGCCTCCCCCTCAAATGACCCCCAGAACATCTTTTGTTTATTCTTCCCCAAACCAGGTTGCCTCCTGAGCCTCCTCTTTCCAACTTAACTACATTCCACTCCTCAGAGGTGGGAAAGAAAGGATGAAGTGCTAATCCTGATTCCACCATCATCTGAATGTTTGGGCCTGAACTGGAAAGGAATGGGTAGATTGGGAGGGGAGAATGGACAAAAGGGCTACTGATAACACAATAACTAAAATTGATAAATCACTTTAGCACAGAGGTTCTCAAACTTTGCTGCACATTAGAACCACTTGTGGAGTATTTAGAAGTTTCAATATCCAGGCCACATCCCAGACCAAATAGATCAGTCTCTGGGGCAGGACCTAGACATCTCAGGCATGAACAACAGTTCAAGCACCTTACTACTCAAAGTGTGGTCCTCTGACCAGCAGGTCAGTGTCATCTGAGAGCTTGTTAGAAATGCAAAATCTCCAGCCCTACCGAATCAGAATCTACATTTTGGCAGGATGGATTAAATAGGTGATGGGAATTAAGGAATATACTTGTGATGAGCACTGAGTGTTTTATGGAAGCATTGAATCACTATATTGTACACCTGAAACTAATATAACAATGTATGTTAACCAACTGAAATTTAAATAAAACCTTAAAAAATAATTTTAAAAAGAATCTACATTTTAAAGACCCCAGAAGATGAATATTTTGAACAGCATTCTTGGCATACTCCTTGGAATCACCTTGGGAGCTGGAAAATAATTCTGATGAATGGATTTAAACAACTCACTGGGCAGCCTGGGTGGCTCAACGGTTTAGCGCCACCTTCAGCCCAGGGCCTGATCCTGGAGGCCCAGGATCGACTCCCATGTTGGGCTCCCTGCATGGAGCCTGCTTCTCCTTCTGCCTCTCTCTCTCTCTCTCTCTCTCTCTTTCTCTCTCTCTCTGTGTGTGTCTCTCATGAAATAAATAAAATCTTAAGAAAAAAACAAAAACAATTCACTGGGCCACACCCTCGTGTAAGTACTGGTCCAAGCACAATAAGAACATACTTATAAGTTCAACAACAATTATTGAATCAAGAGTTTTTGATCACACATATACATGCATGTGTGCATACACACACAATTTTACCCAATTTGTTCTTTTATCACTATCTGGTTTGTTTCACAGTATGGGTTGGCAAACTATAGCCTACAAGCTAAATCTGGCCCTCTTGTGTTTTTACAAACAGAGTTTTATTGGAACAGAGCTATGCCCA